AGGGAAGTTGCAGCTCCGATCATGGTCACACCACGAAGCACATCGCCAACAGTTGCAGCCGTATATAGATCATTTTTGTGTTATATTTGTTTTGCAGTTTGTGGAATGCCTTAGGTTACTTGGTGCCATGCCGGTGCAGCCCCTCTAACACAGCCCGAGGTGTGAGCCTTGGATGGTGCAGAAGTATTGCAAGTTCTGAAATTCTGGGCCGAAATTAGGACAACTTGACTGACTTCCTTTTAAGGGCACTGAGTGGAGGAGACTTGCAATTTGCGCTGCCTACGTGGTCAGGCTGCGCAAGTCACTCCAGGAAGCGAGCCTTGCAGATACCGGTCGCCCACTCAATTGAAGTGGCTCAAGTGCAGATCTCCGGAACAAGAACGCTACTAGGAGCAAAGGGCATCGCTTCTAGGAGTAAGGACGCTACCAGGGGCTCGTGGCCGTACTACTCGGAACAAGAAGCTACTAGTAGCAAGGAGCACGATAATGGTTCAGATATCGGGGGTTTGGTGTTATGAGCCTGTTGGATTTTGTACAAAAGAGAATGGTCCTTCAGTCCAGTGCACCTTCCGTTTCGTTTGTCTCAGCGCCCTCAACGGGTGAGAATGGTGACTCGTTGCAGATTTCTTCTCCCAGGGAACTCGTGGCTCCAATCCTTTTGACTCCTCGAAGCAGTCCTGCCAGGGTCTGAGGGCCTCAGCAAGTATAGAACGTGCAGAGTGTCAACATGACCAGATGCTGGAGGTGGCTTGGTACAATGCCGCTACAGCTCCTCCACAGCCAAAGGCCAGGGTCTAGAATAGAAATAGAATCTAGAATTATGAGGAGGCCAGAAGTAGAATCTAGAAGCTATTAGTAACAGGTGCCTTACTAGTAGCAACAAGAAGCTATTAGAAACAAGTGCCACGCTAGTAGTCACAGGTGCCTTACTAGTAGTAACAAGACGTTATTAATTAATGGAATGCGTGTTTCCTTTTGCTCCGAGGATTTGTCCACACCAAGATCAAACCAGCCAACCTCTCAAGACATGGCAGCAAGCTGCAGCAAGCCGATCCAAATGTCACAGATGTATGGTGTATCGATCAGGCCAGCTGGGCCAACAGCTCCAGAGTCTGAGATAGAAGGCAAAGCACGCTGTGATTCATTCGCAGGGATCTCAGCTGGAAGGCGAGCTTGAAATATTCCAACATTGACACCGTGAAAGCTCAGGAACCTCCAGGTCAAGAGAAAGGAGAACCAAAAGAAAGGAGAGACTTCATAGTGGACATGAAGCAGTTTCTTGTACACGCACCATGTATGCATTGCCATGTGAAACATGAAGGAGCTTGCGACCGACAAAGGCAGGGTTTCAGCAAGCTCCGACGGGGCTTCGTTGCCGGATCTACGAGCCCATGAGTTGAGGTAACGGTTTACCCACCTGTTCGTCTGGAGTCTGCGCCCTCCAGAGGTTCCAATCCTAAGATCTTGTTGTGCAGGCAGTGCTTTTTCTTGAAACGCATTTTCACTTCACATTTCGATGCAGAGACAGAACTTACGAAACCACATAGACCGCCAGTGCACAAGCTTGGTGTTTGTGCTCCTTCACACTCCTTCCGCCTTCCGACTCCTTCCTGGTCCTTCGCATTAGTATTCAGTTGGAGCTTTTTAGCTTCTTGTTTCTACTAACTTCTTGTTACTACTAGTAAGGCACTTGTTACTAGTAGCGATGCACTTGTTACTGGTAGCTTCTTGTTATGCTTGAGTTTTGGAACTCCAAGAAGCGAAGGAACACGCCTTTTGTGTGCAAATCTTGCACCTTCATGGGCCGCAACATCTAGTCTGGAATGCAACCCTCCTGTGAGTTCAAGAACCAGATGCAGCTTCGGCATAGACCGCTGAACCTGAAGAAGATACATTTCTGAGCTGGCCAGAAAACCACACAATATGAGGTAGAGTACAAACAAAGTCAAAGAAACATCATGCTTGGCACCCAGGTGAAATTTCACAAGGGGTATTCAGTTTGGGTGACTTTGCAGGCGTACTGACCCTTTGGAAGAAAGAACATAGACTAAAACCCATTAGTTGGGAGGTCCCCCTACTAAAATACAAGCCCAAATGGCAGCACGACTACACATACAAGTACTCGTAGCTACAAAACGTGCACAATACTTCAGCAGAGGAAAACCGTTTGTTGTTCTTGCCTTGTCTTAGAACAGCCAGCCACAGATCAAATTGACAAGTCCATTTTCTGTGGCAGGTCTGGGATGGTCAATTGTCATCCCCTTGTAACATTTACAGTACATTTTTTGACAGTCAGATGGGTCTTTTGGAGTCTCTTGGATGATTATAGTGTTTTAGCCTCTTGCCCTCACTCGACTCCTACTTAATGAAGTAGGCGCCTACTTAATGAATTGAGGGCCAGCTATTGCCTACTGGATGCAGGATAGCTCACGCTTCAATGAAGCTCTCCCCGCCGCCTTGGAGCTTCCTTGAAGAAGCCCTCGCACTATTCATTTGGTTCCTAGTCTTGTAGTCTGGAACCTTCAAGAAGAGCCATTTTGTCCTGGTGTAGTTGCAGCGAACAAGCAAATGACAAGCGAGTGCTCTTAGCCTTGGCTTGGGCATCTAAAAGCGGGATGTGGTGATGGATGTTTGGTCACAGGGATGGGTTGTACTGAGGTGGAGGCTACACTGACACACTGCTTCTTGGTCCTTCTTGGTCCCAGAGAGAAGCAATGAAATTGCAGCATGCTTTCAAGTTGAAGTTGTTGAGCGTCCCGGCTTCTGTTTGACATTCTCCTATCAGGCTAAATCGACCAAGCCCTGGCTACTTCACACCTGCTACCAGATCTGTGCCACTTGGTTGCAAGATGCAGCAACAATTTAAGGCACTGAGGCCATGTGTCTTGAAGAAAAGAACAAATGTCTTCGTGCTGAGGCCACAGCCAGCCCATGTTTTGCTGACTCCCCCAGCACCAGCCTCCAAGGCAGGTTTCTTCATGTGCTCCGCAAGGATTCGCCTTAAAGTCGCTTGAGGTGACTGATGTAACTCCACCTCAACCTTTGAGCGTGCCAGGTGTCGGCCTTTCACCTTTGTGTAGTTTTTGGGTGAAGACTCCACACGCCCGTGCAAGCGTGTGGTTTTAGGATCCCTGCCTCCCTGGACATGCCTTTCTTGTTTGACAAGGCGTGGACATGTGCGACAAGCCGATTGGGGTGCGCATGGGTCCACTTTGCCGACGATTTGCAGTTCCGACGTGCGGTGTGCATAGTGTGCTCGCAAGGTCTGCTGCACTTCCAGCCCTCCTCTCAGCTGTGAGATTTGCTGCACTTCCAGCCTTGTCTGTTGGCCTGGCCTGGCCATAGGCCTTCCCACCGAGGCGAAGGTTACTGTTCGGTGTAGCCCCCGCAGCCCAGCGGCTTGTGTTGTACCGCCTGAGAGCGTGAAGGAGGCACTTTGTCAAGACTTCTCAGACCACTCTGCTGAGCTCTCTAACCTAATAGCAATGGCCTCCAACCTAATTGGAATGGCCTCCAACCTAGCGAGACTTTTGAGAACATCTCTGCCCATCCCAGCCTTTTGTTGCATCGTTGCTGGGGGCTCATTGCTGCTTGTCATCCCCATGCAGGTCAGCCTGGATAGCTCAAGTGGGACAAATCCGGGTGCCACGCAGAAAGCTGCTTGGTTGAAACATGTTGAAGCTCTGCACAGGCTGGTTGGATGGTGACTAACTCAAGAAGGTGAGATTGACTATGAGTGTGCAGCATTTGAACGATGTGCCGAAAGCAAGCAGTAGCGCAGTACTGCGTTAGTCGTCTCTGTTTCACCGACAGCAGATCGAAGATGGTGTTCGTTTTGTCTTGTATTTTGAAAAGGCTTCCACAGCTCGCTCATCTTCACCATCTGAACTTGAATCGAGAGGGTCTTAGATTGACCCTTCATTGCAAAGGGCTTGAGTAAGTGGTTTGCTCCGAGGCGCTTGCGAGAGCTTGAGCGTAGACTCCATGCCAAAGAATCAGAGCCTGAAACCTGGAGACCTTGAGATACCTTTGCCGAGTCCAGTTCACCTGTTGTTTTTGAGGTGTAAGGAGCTCGAGCATCACCTCACAGAGGCGGAACAAGCGGCCTAGACGAAACGTGTCAACGGCAAATTCTGCCTACATCTCTATATACAGTACTGCAAATAATGCTATAGTGAGTATTGGGGAGTGTGGGGTGACGCCAAAAAGTTGACTTGTGCATTATTAGCATCACAAAGTGGCCAGGATACCATTCAAGTGGACAGCAGTCGGTCTAGTTGTGTATTGTTCGTCCCCATGCACGCGGTCGGCTGTAAAGACAGCAACCTGCAAGCAGGCATGTTATCTATAAAGACCTCAGTAGTGTCTGCGAAGGGCTGTTTTCTGTAGCGTCCAGGCTTAAGGGATGGGGCCGAAACGCATCGAGACTAACGGGCCCAACGAAAAGATAAAGGGTATCGGTATCACGGCTTTGGGGAAGACAAAAAGGTATTTACTGTATTTACCAACAAAGGAGTGCTGTCTTCTGCGATCTAGCTAGGTCTCCCCAAGTAGCTGTGAGGAAAATACAAATCTCTACGAGGGCTGGCTTTCGTCACCTCCGTTCTCAGATCTAAGGAACAAGAAGCTATATAGTAGTAACAAGTGCATCGCTTCTAGTAACAAGTGCCTTACTAGTAGTAACAAGAAGCTACTAGGAGCTCCTGGCCATACTACTAGGAATATATTCTTTTTTACTACACGTGATACATTTGCTGGATTTCGTGGTGATGCCTACGTATTATGTATCAGTGTGAGCAGTGCTTCCCTACAGGTGAAGGTTTCTTTAGAAGAGCAGAAACAACGCCAGAGCCTCTACAGCGCTTTCATTTCAATTGTGAGAGGGGGAGAGAAAGAGAGTCTGACAGAAACTTTTGACGGCTGGAGGTGGAGTTTCTGATCTGAAAAAGAGAGACCAGCACATTGCGGACTGGAGTGGGTTGAAACTGTTTGAAGGTAGTATGAAGTAGGACTGTAGGAAACAGTTGGCAGTGGGAGTGGACATCATTTGGAAGTTCTGTGCGTTGGAAGGAGCTGAGCCGCCGCAACAAAGAGCTCCTGGCTGCAGCAAAGAGAGCAGAACCAGAGGCTGACTGAACCTGTAGTTCGAGGCAGTACAGATAGACTAGATATGATCGGATGTGTTGGAGACGAAAGGGATACCATGCAAATCTGCTGGATGTTTGCCTCACTGGCAGGTCGTGCCAGTGATCTCGGATGGTGCTGGGGAAGAAGGCAAGGCCAAGGCCAGCATCATTGACTAATCATTGCACCGAAAGGATCACAGTCTTTTGTTCAGAAGCATATTTGCAGGAATCAGTTGCGACGGAGAGCATATCATCAAAAGGGCGCAAAGGCGTTTCACTTGCCACGGAGTATTTCTTGCAAATCATGTTTGTGAATCGTTTGCTGCTTCTACCTCTTGAACAGATAGCTTTGGAGATGATGCTTGCAGCCCGGAAGACTGCATTCACCAAATTGGTCTCAGACTTGAGTGGCTAAGGCAAGCATTGACAGGGACATGTTGCAGCCTCGAGTCACTATGAGTCACTCAAAGATGGCCTCCAACCTATATAAGAGCGATGGCCTCCAACCTAAGAGCGATGGCCTCCAACCTACTAGCGATGGCCTCCAACCTAATGTGATCCCTCAAATTCTTCAAAATAAGGCCCACGCTCGCGGCACTGCGGCAGCGTTTGTATCCAAAGCCAGTTCCTCGGATCGCTGTCAGCCAAGAGAGAGCCGTGAAAGCAGCGAGGCGGAATACGCGGCAAGCATGAGGCCCAGACCGAGTGCATCCGAGTGCAATATAGTGCAAAGGATTATCATTTCGAACCAGAACAAAAGCCTGGGAGATCCTGGGAGCAATGATCCCAAGCAGAGCTTGTAGCTTGCGCCAAGGAAGCAGAGCCAGAGACACCGAGGTTTGTGCCTGAGCTAGCTTGAGGTCCTGCATGGTCGTGCTATAGCTTGCTTTTTGCTTTGATTTCACAAAGGCGTCGAGCAAGTCGATCAAATGGAAAAGCCCAAAGCCAGAAGCTTTGTAAGCTTTCTTGGACTCTTGGACCTGTGTATGTGACACACGTCACATATGCACTTGAGTAAATCTATGTATGCATGATGTTGCAGATGAGCATGTAACATATAGAATCTAACTCAACCCGCCAGATCAGCGCACACCGCGGGCTAGCTGAGCTGAGCAGACCCTAATTAAGCTTTGCAGGTCATTCTCATTGCATGCTTCGAAGAAATGAGCAGAGTGGCTTTGAATACTAGCTTGCTTGCGAGTGATGTTTGCACCTTCAATATTGTTCAAAGAAAACTAGCCCCTGCCCGTGTGAAGGCTTGGGTGCCTCAGATTTCTAGGAATCATTTCCTCCAAGCGGGCCCCTGAAAGGCCTATGCCATGCGTTTTTAGCCGTGAAATGATCGAATGTCACCTGTCTTGGCTCAAAGTATCGGTGCCTGAATGGTGCCATGGCTTGGGCAGATGAAGCTCGGTGAGAAGTGTAGAGCCAAAACCATGAGGATCATTCAAGATTGTGACTAGCACGATGAGCTTTCATTGCAACTTGCAACGCTTATTATATATAGATCACTTTTCCATTGATCTCGATTGAATCTCAGGGCGCCCTGCCTGAACGTAGTCTTGGCAGCTTGGTTGGGACTGGGCAAAAAAGGTTTCCGGATCCCACAGGGAGGGAGGTCCGAGTTGAGATGAGCACCTCAACTCAGTCTTTCCCATGAAAGGTAACGGGAAACAATCGCTGATCGCCTGATCGCCTTGGATGCCGCAACACACATTTCTTCAGCAATTCAAATCCACACCAAGCAACATCGAGTTTCAAAGTTGCATTGTTTAGTAGCACTTAACACCCAGGTTGTATTGCTGCTGTGGCCAGGACCAGCAAACGTCACAAGAGCGCACTAGACATCACTAGACTATATGTGAAGAATATTGAAGAATTGCATTATATATATATAACTTGTACGAATGATTCTTTTCGTTAGACCTTTGGGCCTTCTTTCTTTGGCTTTTTAACTTCTTGATCTCTGGAGGCGCCCAAAGCACAACACCATTGACGGAGAAGAGTGCAGCACTACGCAAGGCCCAGAAAAATCATGTGAGCTGAGCTTGTGTCGCTTCAGGTCGCTCAGAATTAGCGCCACTTCCTTCGCAGGTATCTCAACTTCTCCAAGAATTGTCTACACAGCTGGTAGATGATGCGAAGGCGTTCGATTTACGGATCGGGAGCAATATGTACATCCTACTCCTACTGTAAATACTTTGACCATGGCCTCCAAGAAGGCCAGACAAGCTGTCCAGATTGCCCGGAGGCTGATGCGAAGCAGTTCACAGACTTTCAAAACCTGACCTTGGCCACTTGGTTGCATCAAGTACGCTAGAGTTTCTGAGTTTAAAGACGTCTCAATGAGACCTGTGAATCAATGCAAGGCCAATATTGCTGCTGCCAATGCCACTGTCCAGAAGACAACAACAGAAGTGGCTGAGCTCAAAGCGTCCATTGCCTCAGCAGAGGCTTTCCAGGCATCACCAATTCACTTTGTTGGGGAACTTGAGATAAGCATGAGACAAGGTTGCCAGCAGTAGCAGTGTAACGGCCGGGCTCATGGGACTGTCAAGCATTTAGTCGTTTCTAATTCAGTGCCCACTGCTTGCAAATTCTTAGTCTGCAATCACAAGCTCAAAAGCAAGGTATACTCCTTCCATCTTCAGTATACCTCAGAAGATACTGCACGGTCAGAGGGCCAACCTGGAGCATTGGCGCAAAACGGGGGCGGAGATGCCAGGCGGAGAAGAAGAGCGAGCTGGCTGGTGCAGCCGATAGCCTTCTGAAAGCACAGCAGGCCGTTTTGAGGGGCTTGCGGTGAGCTGGCTGTAGAGCTAATGTACATGTCAATATATTTTTGATTGCGCACGTGATGCGCAATTTGGAGTATGCATCATTTGCATCATAAGACATGTGGTATCATTTTGATTTAACAAGACTGCGACGCTGTACTGGAACAGCATTTGAAGAACATTGGCAGACAAAGCCAAGACTGAACATGTTAGCCGTAAGAAAAATCGAGTCCGGTCAAAGCATGGGAAGTGTAACTGTCGATGCAGTTCACAGATTTGGCCTTGCTCTTTGAGAAACAGCCAGGACTTGCAGATGGCGAAGCAGCAGCGCCTATCAGAGAAGGATGCTCTCTTCAGCTGTCTTTTTTTGGCATTAGACGAAGACTGCTCCAAGACATGAGCAACCTGGACCATCAGAGCAACTTCTTTGCTGAATTTGCTTCCCCCGTTGACAGAGCAACAGCTTCCCTTCAGGAGATGTTTGTCAAAAGCTCACAGAAGCTGCAGCGGCCCAAAGATTGGCTTTTGGGCTTTTTGCTTTTGGTCTCGTTGACGCGTAGCCCAGTTGGTAGAAAGCACAAAGGAGATGTCCTGCCAAGTGTCAGTGTCAATTGAAAGCTGAGGCAGCAGAGCGCTGAAAACCTGAACCTCGCTTTGGCAACAGTGAAGAGCACCGGGCTCAGACTGGCAAGATGTAGACTAATTGATGCATTTTTCCCATAAACCTTTGCACTCTGGGTTGCTCAGGTCTCTTTGGAGGCCGGCTGTGGCCAAAACTAGCTTAGTCAGCCTCAGAATGATCAACTATGACGACCCAGGTTCTTTGCTGCAAGACAAACTTCCCCAGACTGAGGGCATTGTCCAAGCAACGAAGCAGATCAGGAGACATGGCCTTGATTGCATGCTAGATGAGTTTTGTCAAAGTGGTGTAGGACTGCACTGAATGCTGGTGCCGACAAGCTTCTGACCTCGAACCAGTTAAGATCCCAAGATTTCGATTTCGTGGCTAACTGGATCTTTGAAGCGTGTTGAAGTAGACCGGCTTTAGTCAACATCTGAACATACATAAACACGCTGCCACTACTCTTGGACGCAAACTTATGAGGCAGCGTTTTCTGGCACGGTTGCTGACTGCGAGCAGGCCACAGAGCAACTGTATGCAGTCGCTTCTCAAACAAACTCTTTCTGGATCATCTCAATGAACAACAGTGCTAGCAGCGCTTTATTGCTTGATTCTGGAGCCTTTTGTGACAAACTACCTCGTTTTTGTTGGCAGGACTCCAAAGGTCAGCCAGGCACCACATTGGTTGCATATTTTGGCTTCAAAGCTTGCTGCATTTGAACATCGACAAAGCTTTCAAGAGCGTTTTTGGTTGAGGCACATCTTGGTTTTGGCTTTCTTCAGGTTCGACCCAATTCTTGTGACTCAAGTGCTCTGACTCTGTGCAAACGGAAGGACGTGGTCCACTGTCGGCGGCAATAATCTTGTCAGGTGAATCAGAAGCAGCACGGAAGTTCAGATGAGGTAGGACATGGTGCAGCTCATGCGTATCGTGTGCAATATGAGAAAAGACAAGAACTGTACATACTCAATCTATCAATTCTTTTTGCATCAAGAAGATATACTTTCTCGAATGTTGTGGCTTCACTATACATTGATGAGCATTCGTTTCAAGGATGAGCTCAGCGACCCAGACTCGGATGCTGGTGTTGGAGACCTGAAAGCGACCTTAAAGCAGGCACCAGAGCCACAAGTGATAATGCAATAAATGCCATATGCAGGCATCATGAGCGTTCAAGTTATTATCCGAATCTACCAAAAGCTTTCAATGTCGAACCCGGGTCCCACTTTGGGCAAGGTGAAAGAGCAGACAGAAGCCGAGATGACAGCAACACACCAAGCTGAATTGAAGTACTCTGGCCGCACAACAGTTTTCCACTGAGTTCTTGCATGTTCTTGCTTTGCGTACACACAAACACAAAGTATATATTTAGGATTTATGTGCTAATATCCAAGATAGACATGCACTTGCAGGATTTTACTGGCACCTATGTAAATTAATGTAAATTATTTTTGAAGATCCTGCAGTGCTTGGTGATGAGATGTACGAAGGTCAGCAGCAGCCTTTATTGCCCTCACAAAGTCGCTGGAAGATGAGCTTTGCTTTGCATTTTAACCTTTCAATTGCAAGACAATTGAAACGCACAAGATAAACATGAGTACTTCCTTTTGATGACAACAGAACACAAGACACCTTGGTGCTTGCCTGCCTTTCTGTCTGAGGAGGTGACTGCACGTCAAACAGCCTTGACGGAACTCAAGTCTGCAATTTCTTCATCTGAAGAGGTGACATGAGAGAGACGGCGACATGTGAAAGGTCTTTGACTCTTCGACAAACAGCCAAAGACCTTCTTGGCCCGCGGCAGTCCACGTGTCAGGCTGCTGGCAAAGGAAAAGGCGACTTAATCTATGCTACCAGGCGCCAAGAATATATATATATATTTACGCACATCTCTGGAGATGATAGTTCGCACTAAAAATTGTGTTGAGACCAGCTATTGTGTGATTGCTGAAAAATGCTAAGGCCACAGTTGGAAGGACTTGACATTCTCCTGTGCCAGGCGGCTAACGGTGACCAATCAACAATTGGTCCAACTCCAAGTCGATCTCAAAGACAAGACCAAGGCTGGGCAATGCTTTCCTGATGCAGACAGAAAAAGGGAGGGAAGATGCCAGGACTACGAGATGCGAAAGCAGTCTAGAAAGAGCGAGGAGGATGTGATCAAAGAGGCAGAGATTCTTCTGATGATTTTGTCAGCAGAAACATGGGTTCGGCTTGGAGTTGTTGAGATCAGGCAGTGAGGATCTTGACGAAGTCGGATGCCACTGTCACACTCTCATGGCTCACATCGCTCAACTTGATGCAAGCAAGTACTCAAGGTACTTTTGCAACTTGTTTGCATCAGGCAACCAGCTTCATACAGCTGGAGCAATCCTCTCAAAGCAAAGTGGCTGGCCACTCAGTGGTTCAACGCC